TGAGTCCCCCCAGGGAAAAGGGCGGCCTATAAATAAACTTTCAAATTCAAATTCAAATTCCCTGGAAGAAGATGCAGTTGTTTCCAAATATTTGTCTGTATCTCTTTTGTATGTGTACACAGCTGTTTTGTTTCCCTTTTTTCCTAGATAATTGATCTTGGCTGGTCTCAAATAGGTAAACAGGTTAGAACCGTGATGGCGAACCTATGGTATGTGTGCCACAGGTGGCACGCAGAGCCCTCTTTACGGGCACATGCACCATCGGCAGCTGCTCTTCTGGTTTCCGGCATGCACATGCTCGCCAGCCAGCTGGTCTTCATGGGCGCTAGAGCACCAGAAAATGGCCTGAAAATGCCCCAAAACCAAGCCATTTTTGGGTCATTTTCAGGGTATTTTTTAGGCTGTTTTCAGGGTGTTTTTCGGTCTGAAAAACAGCCTCAAAAAATGGCCAAAAAATGCCCCCCAAACAGGCATGCATGCGCTGGCCAGCCAGTTCCTGGGTCTCCAGTGCTCCAGCGCGCCCGAAGATCAGCTGGCTGGCATGCATGCACATGTTGGAAACTGGAAGATCAGCTACCGGCACGCACATGTGCCCCGGCCAGCTGGTCTTCTGGTTTCTGGCGCTTCAGCGCATGCACATACAAATGAGTTCTGGTTTGACCACTCGGTGCCGAAAAGGTTCGCCATCACTGGGTTAGAATATTAGGTGCAAGATCAACAGATAATCCCAGAGCTGTGGGCTAGACTGCAAAAATTTAAAAATAATAATGTTAGAACTCATTGATAATATTTCTGGATTGCATACTTCTGAAATAGAAATTTATATATATGACATGGTTCATTTTCTAAGGTCTGTCTATTTATCTATCAGGAAACATACATCAGAAATACATAAAACAAAGTCCTAATATACTTGGCATTTTTGAAGAATGAGCCAAAAGAGTCATACATCCATCACCTTACTATTAGAATGAAGCTCTTAAAAGGAAATGAAAGCACCAAAATGTTTTCTAGACAGCTCTTTTTCCAAATAATATTAATATAAGAAACCCACTGTTTTTATTCTTTCTGACAAGCTTCATATCTATTCTATAGATGCTGTAGTTAGTATTTCAAACTCAGCAAGGTAGTGTCAAGATCAGCAGGAGCTATGCCTGGCAGCATTCCAAATATATCCAACAAAATATTGTTCTAGAAATTATTAACTTTCCAAAACATTTAACAGCATTATGTATTCAGTAATAAGCAAAGTGACTTAAAGACTTTGATATGGTATGCATTTAGTAAGTATAAACACGTGAAGAAATACCTGTCTATCATAAAAATTCTAACAGTGGGCTGATTTGCTCAAGGTTTTCAAGCAAATATTCAGGTAACAGCAAAGATTTCTTGAATTCTTTAAGCCAGTGGGTACTTCTTACTTTGTAACTTTTTTTTACTCTATCCAAATAGAAATTCATCTCACTCAGTGCAGCAGAACAAATCAAATTTAGATGCAATATCAGCCAAAAGCAAGAGAAGCACAAACAATATTTATTATTGAAAATTAAATAGCAAATCTTTGAGGTAGCTCTTATAGAGTGTTCCTCTTCACCTAAGGACATCTAAGGAACATTTCCCCTGGCACAATTCCATACTATAGGTGGTCCTCCACTTACAAACACAATTGGGACCAGAACCTAACTGATCATTAAGTGAGATGTGACTCAATGACTGCAATCCTGGTTGTGGTCATTAAGCAGACAGAATGAAATAACTACATGCTGAGTTCAGCTCTCCTTTGTGCACAGAAGGAAACTGTTCCATCAGGCTTTAAGAGCAGAGCTTGGATCTTCAGGATCTCAACTTTGTTTCTCCACTCCCCAGGAGGAATTTGTATCCCCTCAATGCATTGAAAACAACTGCTCTGGTGGATTGCAAGAATGGAGGTTGGATCTTCAGGATATGAGCTCCATTTCTTCACCCTGGCGGAGGAATTCAGTTCCCCACGGTAAGCACGGCAAGTCTTTCAGCCAGCTCCCAGAGATAAGAAAGAGTCATTTCAGTAGGCCAAAGCAATTTGCAAACTTCCATCCTGGCCTCCCCACTGATTTCCCAGGGAAGCCAACAGATGGTGGCTGCAAATGGTCATCACATGATGAGCATCCAGATCACAATTATGTGACGGGGACGGGGGACACAGCACTTTTTTTTATGACTGGGCAGGAGTGCTTTATGGACCATAAAGTACATTTCAGAGTCACTGTAATTTTGAATGGTTGTCAAACATATATTCTCATACTATTTTATAGAACAGATATGACGATCTTTTAGGATTTCCTAGTAAGTATAGTATCAATGTGATGGGAAAGAACTACATGGTCAGCTCCTACTATCTATCTGGAACTTCCAAACCATAACACAGAGCCATTCTATGTTACTGAACAAAGAAGGGTATAAATTCAGGCAATTGGCAGCATTCAAAGACCTACAGGGCTTTTCTTATCATTTCTTTTTGCCTGCAGCCATCACAATTTAAGACAAACTTCTTCTGATCTCCTACAAAATTGCCTCAAAAAGAGAGAATACTTTGGCAAGTAAAGAACTGTTTTCCACTTAAGAGGTTTTATTAGAAATTGTCCATTTATTAAGTATAAACAGCTTCAGGACATCAATAAAGGTTTTTTAAACCTTCTTACTGAAAAGCTGCTTATTCTTTATGTCACAGCCCACTTGCAACAAGCTATCACCACACAGCAAAATCCACTACCTTTTTGTCATCTTGCCATAAACATTAAAATAATAATGAATGGTAACCAATGTAACAGTTTTATCAATTGACTCTTACTCACTCATTGCCCCAGTCCAAGCGAGCAGTAATGTGCCTTTTTACATCCTTCATCCGATCATGGGTCAGATGGCCCACCAGCACCTGCCGTCGCAGATCTAGGATTTCATTCATTATGTGCCACAGTCGGTGAAATAAATCACCTTCATTTCTCTGTCAAATACAGAAGCTAATTTTCAGATAATCAAAATCATGTATCTTATTCAAATCTGTTGTTGTTCCAGAAACATAATCCAGAAAAAGAAGGAAAACCGTGATAATTGAGATGGAAATAGTCAAACTAAATTATCTTTTCTTTTCAAAAAATCCTCCTCTGTTCAAATACACATTTATGGATGTGTAGGTTGTTTTGGTAGTGAGTTTTTTCTTATTTGTATGCAAATAAAAGGCAGGCTATCCCACAAATAAGTCCCTCCCCTCTCTTATCCTCCCCTCTCCTTTCCTTTCCTTCGCTCTTTTTCTCACTACCTTAAAAACTTATTCTCTCATTATATTGGAGCCAATGTAGTAAATGCTAAGCTAAATAAATAATTGGTTTAACAACGAAATAAGGCAGTATTCTATATTTCTTTGTTTTTAGAAAGTGGATAAATATTTTAGTACCTCATGTTCATTATTGTGCTCACATGTCTAGCATCTCCTAAAAGGTGAGTCAGTTCTACATTAGCTTTTGACTGAGATGTCCCAAAAGTGCTTTTTCAAGAGGCAACTGGACTTTCTGGTTTTTCTTTGAAGATGTTTCACTTCTCATCAGAGCTGAAGAAGCTTCTTGGATGAGAAGTGAAATGTCTTTAAAGAAAAACCAAAAAGTCCAATTGCCTCTAGAAAAATCACCTTTGGAACAACTATGAGCTGGATGACTAGGAATCTCCATAGCATTATTTCTTGTTTAACAGCAATTAAAGAGATGGGCAGATTATTGTGTTTGAGCTATTCAATCTCTGCTTTAAGATTAATACCAATATACAGACTCCCAGCACCATAAATACCTCAGTATTATACCACATTGAATAGAAAGAACTGTGATCTATGATATGACACAAATGGCTGCATATTAAAGCTCTGATCTATAGGCACACCTTGTCTTCAGTTGCATATAATCTGTTTCAGGCACTAGAAACATCAAAATGTCTCTAATAATAAAAAAAGAGTGAAAGAAAAAATTATCCCATAAAATAGTGATTAAAATCCATGTGTACTCTTCACATACAAGTGGATAGCATTCTCAGTTGTTCTTTATGGACTAATGCTGTTAGTCTGGAACTACATGCTGTTTCACAAAAACTGTACTCTGCTTTGACCGCAATCACTACTTGTTTTAGAAATTGGACATCAGTCTAGGGGTCCTCCTTACCCCTCTCAACCCACCATCAAATCACTATTAAAAGAGCTAATTTTGACAAACTCAGAAAGAATTTGGAAAAGATTCCTTGGATGAAAATCCTAAAGGGGAAAACAACTCAAGAGCTTGGGAAACTCTGAAAAATATGATAATAAAAGCCCAGTCCAGCACAATACCTCTGAAAATGAAAAACAAGAAATCCAAGAAGAAACCAGCATGGCTGCATAAACATTTCTCTGACAAATTGAAAGACAAAAAGGACAGGTACAAAAAATGGAGAGAGGGACACATAACTAAGGCAGAATAACAGCAGATAGCCAGAATCTGCAAAGACAAAGTCAGGAAAGCAAAGGCAAAAGTCAAAGATAATTTAAAAAGTTTCTTCCAACATATAAATAACAAGAAAAAAAAATACGGAAACAGTCGATCCACTAAAGAGAGAAGACGGCAAGAAAATAAAAGGCAGCAGAGAGACAGCAGAACTGCTTAACTCATTCTTCGCATTGGTCTTCATTCAAAAAAAAAACCCAAACTACCAAAAACATAACTGTAAAGATAGACTAGAAATAAAAGTAAGAGAACACCTGTCTGATCTTGATGAATACAAATCACTGGGACCTGATGAACTACTAGAGGACTGGAAAAGAGCTGATGTGGTTCCCATCTTCAAAAAAAAAGGGGGGGGGACCCAGGAATCTATAGATCAATCAGCCTAACATAAATAACGAGGAAGATACTGGAAAAGATAATTAAAAAGAGATCTGTCAACATCTAGAAACGAGTAAAGTAATAACTAGCAGTCAGCCTGAGTTTATTAAAAACAGATCATGCCAAACCAATCTTATTTCATTCTTTGACATAGTGACTGAATTAGTAAACCAGCAAAATACAGGCAATCCCCAGGTTACAAGCCTTCCCTTAGCAAACGTTCAAAGTTACGCGATCAGCAATAGCAATAGCAGTAGACTTATATACCGCTTCATAGGCCTTTCAGGCCTCTCTAAGCGGTTTACAGAGAGT